TATATATATATATATAGTATATGTATATATATATATATATATATATATATATACACACACACTGCTATCATCATGGCATACTTACTGCATGTTAATTCAAATATCATTAATGTTAAAGGCATGGAATAGTTAGATCTCTCTCTCTCTCTCTGTCTCTGCGTTGGAGTCTCTTGATGTGGACTCTCCAGGAAAAAGCTATTTTCATGATACAGCAGATGCTGACATGCAGATTATACTCTGCACAGATGCCTCAAGCAATCAACGATTGCAAGTTCATGCTGCATGGTTGAATGGTACCTCGCTACCTTTAGTTCTCATATACAGAGCCTGAAGAACCAATGCCAAACTAAGAAGAATCACAACAAAACAAGGGAACAACAAGAGAGTATGTGAAAGTTCTGCATATGGAGATTTCTTAACCCAACCATCGTTAACAACATCAGGGAACACAGCCCCGTCTTCCAAACAGTTGAAATCCTAATCTGACACTGCAGGAGATGTGGGGATAATTACAATACAAAACTTAGAAAATGTTTACATATTGTTTAACGATCCAAAGGCTCAAAGATTGCTTTCCATCTTGTCATCTATCAGGAAGAACCGCCTTTCATCTGCATGCTGGATCGTAGGCTAAGAGATGCGGTTTTGGTATATTGTCAACTTGGAGAAGCAGCAATGACTTCTGATTATTGCAAAATCGTTATCCTGATTGAAGATTTACAAGTTAGTATCAGTTTAAGATGTGATCACTGTATTCGTTCACATATGTATTAACATATGCGAGTTCAACTAGCATGATAGCTTGATAGTATAGAGTTGTACCTATTGTTCATTTGCAATAGTACTGTATGACAATGAAGGCACCGCCGCTCACCGATCATGTAGGCAGCGTTCTCAGAATATGTAGTGCCTGAGTCCATTGTGGCCCTTTTATAAGAACTATCCTCTTCAAGGCTGGCACTGCTCCAGCAGCGACTATAGCCGAGTGATTCTCGACATCCATACTCAGGTTATACAAGATAGCCAGGCTAGCTTCAAGTGCCTCGCCGCGTGCCTCTTCAATCAGGTTCACCAGAGGGAATATCCCTCCTGCAGCGGCAACCGCCTTACTACACTCCATAACTCCTCGAGAGATTATCTTGTTTAGTTCTTTGACAGCAGCTTCACGAGCTTGATAGGAGAAAGATGAACTCATCTCCTCAACAAGTCTTGGAATCGTCTCGTGCAGAGTTACTTCCATCTTGATAGGATACTCTAATTCTGATGTCTTGTCAGCTTTGGACTCGAGCTTTACTAGGCAGGCAGCAACCCAATCCTTGGTGTGAAGAGGGACAGAAGACTTTAGAATATTGCGCAGTAGAAAAGTGAAGTGTCTGGTATCAATGATCTCATAGAATTGGTCAAAATCAAGCAATTTAGCTAGCAATCTAGATGCAGCAGCAGCCGCAAGGCCTTTTTCTTCAATTTCAACAGTATTTTGCTCAAGCTGATAGTCCGTATCATTTGGTGTGCCTGTCAAAGATAAATATTAGAAAAACCCAGATCCCAAAAATAAGGTATTAAGTTAAGATAAATCTCACTTATAGATATAGCCTCAGCATGTTATAGAAACTTCTGATCTGATAAATCACACATAGCCATAAGGGTACAGAAAATGGAGAACTTGGAAGGGACTTAAACAGATGTTCATAGAGTCAGAAATCACCAAAACAAACATGCTACCAGAATAGTTTCCAATATGATCTTGAAACAAATGCTCAGACCTGATTGATTACATGTAATAGAAAAAAATCAAGAGGTAAATATGGAAGCATACAGAGAGATTAATACATAGTGAAGAGACTATTCACCAGTTGAGGCAAACCGAGGTTAGCTTCTCAAGAACTTGGTAAATAATTGACTTAAAACATCATTAGACCTGGAAAGATAATCAAAACAAATATCTGGTAGGACCATGAAGAAAATGAAAAGAACCATGAACAGTAAACTACAAAGAACATGCTCAACAATAGTAACATAAATCATCAAAAATGGATAACTAAGAACTATGTTCTCCTAGTGGAAAAGTCATAAGATTTCTTCTGAGAGATGCAAAAGGAACCTTCATAGTGCAGTTTCTAGTAAATCATAAAGATATAACATGATGAACAAGCAGAAATGAATAACCTGAGTATCTTGGACAGATATGTGATAATGCAAGGAAAAAAGAAGGCATGAGCCCTCTGAAAGCATTGGTTATGTTAAGCCATGGATATCACATACCACTGATACAACCCTTTTTTAAAACAGCCTCAAGCCCCAACTCAATACCGGCTGCAGTGACAGCTGCCACATTTGTTTCACGAGTCACCAGATACTCAAGAATAGAAGCAACCTTTACTTGCAAACTTGGAGATGATGTCCTCAAAATTTCAGTAAGGCAGGATATAAAGCTGGAGTCGGTCGCCATCTCCCTGGAAATATATCTTAGTAGTAAAATATAACAGAAAAAACATATTCATCATTTTGATAACTAAGACCATAAGCTGAATGATTTGCGCTTCTGATAGAGGAGAGAAGAAACACCAGCAAAATATGAAAAATACAAACAAGTCATTTGTCTTACTTCAGTTCATGAGAAACTTTTATTATGGTTATCAAAAGTAAAAAAAAGATAAACTCTCCTGCTAAACATAAGTAGGAAAAGAAACAGCATCCAAACAGAATCAGGAATTACTCCAATAATCAACTGTTATAGATGGTTCAAATTTATCAACCATGGAAAGTCTCACAATTTGCACCACGTGGGATGTGGTAAATGAAAACCAGGTAAAAATCCAAGAGCATTTGTTCAATTCAGGATTACATTTTTGTCAAATATATCATATCTTGTCATCTATCATTAAGTGTCCTCCTTCCTCTGCCCTTTAACCTTTCAAACAAGGACGTGATCACATATCAGCCCACCTCAACAGCGGATAAATCAAAGAAATCAGTGTGTATCTAAATTACCAGAGCTTCATGGGATGGTTGTTTATCAATGCCAAAGTGTAATGAAAGAAGACAGAAAGCAATATGAAAATTTTCTGTGCAATTAATTTGTGCTATTGTTCCATGGCGATATTGCTACCATACACGAAATATTTCTGCAAAACTTACCAATAATGAGTCACACAGTAATGTGGCACAAGGATCTAAAACGAGATATGCAAATTACGATATATAAAAAATTGAAAATAAAAGAATTTGTAGATCAGCATTTGTATATTTGAATGATAATACTTTATCAGCATGATAACAACCCAACAAACAACAACCATTTTGTAGATCTATTTACCGTTTGACTAGCTATTGGTTTGAGTTTTAGTTGGTTTTAGTTTCAAATTTAATGGAATTGGATTTTAGCTGACATAAGATCCAGCTTGAGTTTGAATTAGTGTTAGTCTTGGGCCAAATTAATTGCAACAAGGCTCAATTACTGCCCACATCACTGTAGCATGGACAATGTTAGCTAGATCGACATGATGGTATCACCTGATTTTGAATCTAACTCAAACATGACATTATTGGTGGTAGTCAGCCCGATAAAAATAAATAAGAACTAGTTGGTTATTGATTTCGTGATAGAGAATCCAAATTAAGCACAACTCTTGCCTCTTGTCAGGCAATATATGCTATGTAAACAGAATTAACGAAGCATTTGAGAAAAAAATCATGCGATCCTCTTTCCCTTCTAGTACTTCTCCTCATACTGTACTTCACTTTTCCTTTCTTCTCCTGTATTCATTCTGTTCTTCTCTGTATTTTTTTCCCTCTTATTTTTTCACAACCTTTTGCTGGAAAATATCTCCAGAAGCATAGATCCGGTGTAACTTGCTGATCTAGAATCCAATTCAAACAAATAGAGGAATGAGATTGCCGATCAAGAATATCTTCTGCTGCCAAATCACAGTCAAAATTTCAAAATAGAAAGAAGCTAATCTGCTATATCTGAGCTGTAGCAATCTTTGAACTGTCCAACCCTTAAAACAATCAAATGTATTCTATTGCAACCTTGGGTTGCATCACAACACGTAACACTACTCGGTAGTGACATATTCCAAGTTGACCAACATCAACAAACTGTTGTTCTTGCAGATAAGAAAGATCACTAGCGACACAAGAGAAAAAAAAAACGACAAACCTCTCAACTACTTCAGATCTTGACGAGGGATCAGGAACTTCTGTGGATCCATCAACAGCTACATCACTGTTTGTATGGTCTGACCCATCATTGACCTTGTCATAGAACTGAAAAAATTAAGATTATATCAGGAATTGGAGATTCATCATTTCCACCTGTGGGAACCATAAAAGCATCAGCCTCACCTCCATTTTGATGTTATTTCGTGCCTCAAAAATTCGAGAAAGTGTATTCACAACCTGTGTTTATTGGCTCCTTGTCAAAACTACATATAAGAAGTGAAGGTTTTCAGATGCATGCATACCCATGCACATACCCATGCACACACACATGCAGCATACATGCATGCAGACACACACACACACACAACTAAATCAGTTTCTGATGAAACCTTTTCTAACAGAACATCTGATGTATTTGGCTCCTGGAGTATGTTTTTAAAATGCTTTAAAGCACCTTCTTCTTCAATTGCCTTAAGCACAATATGACTGCAGGAACAAAAAGACAGAAGATTAAGTAAATCAGTCTCATGACAACCTTTTATAAAGTATGATTCATAAGTATCATAAGTGCTCATGACAACCTTTTTAACTAAAATTAACAACTGATGAATTTATATGGAGGGAAACTAACACAATACAACTAGGGATTCTCACCATTAATAATAAGGAGAACAATCATCCAAATAAGATTATCACTCCTAGGATCTCACATTTAAACAAAATGACAATTCTCTATATGAAACTGGTAATGCAGTTAAATGAATCTAAAATCAACCATTATATGATGAGACAATGGAAGGAGTTCAAGGAACATACTGTAAATCAGTAAATTAGTCCCAGTTAATAATACGGCTAATTCTTACGAAAGTATAAACAAATAAAATATGATTTAGAAAGGAATTCTTTAACTACAAATTATTAGGAACTTAAACAGAAGAATTGAAAAGAGTAGAAAAAAGACCTGAGAGAAAGCCTTTCAAGAGCATGAGCAACAGCCTCTTGAATAACCTCATTATTATGTTGCAGAAGTTGAACTAAACGTCTAAGAGCTCCAGCTTCCTTAAATGAGATACGCATATGCTCACTAATTGATGCATCAGCAATTGCATGAGCAGACTTCGTAATAGCGGAAACATCTTCAAGCCCAAGAATCAAAACCAGGCGAGCAACACCGTCTATCCATGACAAAAGAGTATACTGTTGATTCTGAGAAGATTCCAACTGAGATTTTCTCACACTAGCCACCTCGATAGCTCCAATTCTTGCAAGAAACTGCTGTTGTGATCGTCCAACTATTGCATTAATCTTAGCTTCCTCTAGATTGAAACTCTGCTCATGGATATTTAATCCAAGAAGTAATTCTGAAGCACCATATCTTGAAGGGGCTGAACTTCGCTGAATTTCCATGCCATCAGGTAAAGATGGCCATGAATGAGTTGGAGACCTGAAAGCTTTATATGCAGAAGCACCAATTACAGGGACACGAACTAGACCCTCCTCAATTATAAGAATTCTGTAATACTCATCTTTAGAAAGTTCCAATAGTGCAGTTTTTGCTTCCTTACGAATAACTTTATAGTCCTCACTGTTGTTTTTCAAAAGATCTGCCTGCAATTAAAGTAACAGAATACTCATTAACAAGCTTCATGCAACCTGATCAGAAACCAAAAATGAAAGAGAATCACTAAATTTTAATTACCTGAGTTTATCTTAGAATCCAAGGCCTAAAGTTCCAAGCAAACTAAAGTGTTTGAGTGAGAATCAGTTTTCGCTTATGACAAATCCCTTGTCAAAACTAACAACTTAGATCTAAAAACCTTGTGTTAAAGTTTCATTTGGACTATCATCGAAATTGATTTTTGTTAGAAGAATACAGCCACTCATCTTTTAAAGTTTGTTAAAATGCAATAAGAGGGAACTTTGGCACCAGAAAAGTTTCTCCTTTGCTACATTAGTGTCCAGGGTTTGAATCTTAGAAACATCCTCTATGCCCATGTGAGTAATGTCCCATAGTTTGGGTGGAGCTTCGTGCATTGTGCCACTAATTGTTAATTATTACATGCTAACCAGTATCAACAAGATATCTTTTTCAGTTTCATGAACTTAACAGACTAAGCATGATTCATACCTCATAATCATGTGCCTACTACCTAAGCCTCGAGTCTCAGCAGGTGGAGAAACAGCCAGCAGAACTTAAGAACCTTACCAAAATTTTGTGCCGCTTCATTTTCAACTACACTTGTTTTGACTCTAAGGATACAGAACCAAGAGAAAACACTTTTCATCAGACAAGTACATTATGACCAAGATCTGTAAGTTCATTTCTCCCTTGCTTCTACTAACTCAAAAAGCTTCTTTTGTGATATGTATCAAGTTAATATGAATACAAATTCACAAAATAAGCTAAGATGCCCGAATTCTCTTACTTTTAATAGTTTCCAGAAGTTGATTGCCTATAATGCACTGGTAACTTAAGATTTTTGTGAAATTTGTTTTTTAATCATGTTTTGGAGATCAAGACTCTTACACCCAACCTTAGACTGCCAACTTTAACCCAGGTTAAAAATGGAACCATTGGAGAAATTTCAAGAATATAAACAACAGTTGATCTATACTCTCAGTGCTTGCCACACGACTGAAAAAAAATATTACTCATTGTGACACTTTTTCTGCACTGCATGATATATAGAAGCTGTTGTATTGAAGTGTCCTCCATCAAGCATCCATATTGTACGAATACACTTTCCATCTGAATTCCATCCATTTCATATTTCTGGGTTTCATATATTAGCAAGAATGGTTTTTGATAATAAACTTGAGATATGTCGAGACGGAAGTTGAACAGGTATATGCAAATACTTCCACTATTCTGACTTGTATATTCTACAAAGAACTTTGCTACAGAACATAAATGTCTAGGTTTCATTGTATTTCTTCTATCATGTAGGTACTTCTATAGTATAATATATGATAAGGTACATTCTTTAAAAAAAAGAAAAAAGTTCCTTGATTGTTAATGCAGTCTACAAGCTTCTGATGGTTACTCTTGTTAATAATTATAAATCAAACATCAAACATGTCAAAATATTTGATCTACATTGTTGTATATTAATCCAATATATAAGATTTTCCTTAACCAAGGTTCTTTATTTTCCAATGCATTTTACAGAATAAGAAGTGATTGCCTTTTGATGATAACTTCTTGACCTCATAAAAATTCATAAATAATCTAACGGTTACAAACAACTCAGGTATTTGTGTAAGCGAACCTTAACATGGAATTTATTCAAATGTTTAACAAAGAGAGAGAGAGAGAGAGAGACAGAGAGACAGAGAGAGAGAGAGTCACCAGCTTTGGAATGACTCCAGCTTCTACGAGTAAACTGTGGATACAAGGACTCAAAGCCAAATTTGCCAGAATTCCACCTGCTGCCTCCTTCACCTTAATTTCCTCATCACCAAGAAACTTAACGAGCATGGGTAATAGGTAGTTCTTTGCAATCCTCACCCTAAGATTCTCATCAGTAGATAAGTTCCACAAAGTACAGAGGCTTTGCTCCTTTACCTGCACAAGGATACCGAGAGTGAACTCCCCTTACCATGCTACTTATCAAAGGATGATGACTGCAAATACCTCAGATGTCAAAGAAGGTCGGCAAAGAAGACTGGAAATTTCTTCAATAGCTCCACTTTCAGCAACAACATTTCTGTATATGCTGACTGCAGACACAGTCCGCAGAAGGCCTGCTGCTGCTTCACATGTACATGAGGACTCTGACTTCAGAAGGCTGACAACAAGATTAATACAGCCAGGAAACTGCATGATACCATCTATGCACTCTTTCCCTCCTTCGGAGTATTTCCAAAGTGTAGATATAGCTTGCTCTCTGTCAAGCGGATCATTATCTAGACCAAGCATCCGAACAAAGAGACCCACGTAACCATCACTGGAACTCCTGCTGCTACTTGACCTCTCGATATCCTGCAATTGTGCAATTCCAGGGCAATCTACTATAGACTTACGGTTTACCAAAATCAACTAACAAACAACTATACATTTTGCACGTATATAAACATGTTTTCACATATAGCCATAAATTCACATGTTTTCTGAAAAGATTTTGGCGGCTGCTATGGTAGACTCGAGTTATATTATAATACATATGTTACAAGCAATAAAAGCCTATTATGAAGTCTAAGTTGATGGTGTCTGTGCTGTAAGAAGATGCTATAGTGGGGCTCCTATTGGTGGCCTCAGAGGCCCCATTTCGGCTCTAACCTACTTCTCATCCAATTTACCAATGACTTCATTGATTGCATATTTAAATATGTAATAGATTTTGGTTGTGGATTTTCTTCTCTTGGAAGCTCCTACAGTATGCCACTAAAGAATTATGTATATATATTTATATTTTATACACAATAAAAGATTGACTAAAGGGGCACTTACAGAAGAGACTGGTAAGGAAAGACTAAGTTACAGCTAATCTGAACGAACAATGCTACTCCAAGGAGCATTAGACATGGATGCTATGTGGTTAAATGTTAACTCCTATAAAGCACCATGGATCAGAGTTTTGTTTGTTGAATCTGCATGCAAAACCAAGCTCAGATGTAGTTCCTTTTGTTCTTCTTCCTCATATTATAGTTTCTATCCAGATCATTTAGGCGATTACAAGTACACCAGATACGCTATGCAGCAAGAAACAAGAGAATAAGAATCAGGGGGAGGTGCGGAGCTTACCGGGGGCGAGGCGGAGGAGGAGCTCGGGTTGGATTCAGCGGCGGCGCCGTCGCCAGTGGCGCAGACAACGGGGAAGAGGCGGGCAATCGGGCGAACGAGGCCGAGTCTGAGGCGGGCGAAGGCGGGGGTAACTGCCCATGGTTGATTGGCGCGGTGGCGGAGGCTGAGGCGGTGATGATAGCAGGGATGACATGGAGATGGCGGAGCACAATAGCTGTTAGCAACAGCACCCATTCCCACGTCTCCTCTTCTCGTGCCTCATCCACCTGTAGGTATAATGACGATTGGTTCGGTCCGGCCCGGTCTATCCAGACACTGAATCCGGCCCTAAGCTGGTTGGGTCAAGGCCCGCTTGAGCCGAACCCCACCTGCTTTGGCAGGCATCTCTAGCTGCTCCATGGGCTCAACAGGTTCAGCGGCCTTCACTGAGCCCATTCTTCTTCTTCTTCTTCCTCCTCTATTCGAGCTCGATTAGGCTATCAAAATAGGATCCCAAAGGTTCAATCTCGTTCGAGTCTGAAGTGGATGCTCCCAAATCGAAGCAAAGATGTCGAGATCAGATGCTCCCAACTCGGTCCCTTCGTCTAAATCAGTGACGCTTCAAAGATGAAATATAAATATTCTTCGAATCATGAATGATTTGAATAATATTTTATATTAAAATTATTGATGTGACATAGTTAATTGGCTTAACGAATTAAATCATTTCCACATATCAAATTATAGAAAGATAATTTTGCCCTCATTAGTATTCAAGATCTTCGTCCTATTCAAACTCAAACTTCACTTGATGCCTATTTTTCGCCTATTTCTCTATTTAGTTCATCTCAAATTTAATTAAAAAAAACCAATATATATGTACAAAAATTTGTTTGTTGATCATACTATTTCCAGAGGAACAAGCTGACCTTGAATTTGTTTGTTGATCATGCCAAGTATTTTGAATAAACAGACCAGAAAATGAGACAAGCCGGAAGTCAATGAACAGCTGTTCGATTGAGTTCTAGTGACTAAGAGGGTGGCCTTTTCTCTGTAATTTTCTTGGACTTTTAGAACCTGAAGCATCAAGCCATCTCTGCTTGGGTAACATCAGAATCTGCATCCGTTTCCTCCCGCAGATCATACTCAACCACAAGGCCCAGGTTGTCAACAAACTTGTGATACACTTGACATCCTGCACACTGTTCATGGACATCATGCTGTAGGTTAAAACAAAAGCACAGGAAAAAAAAATCCAAGCAGAACAATAAAATTCACAATAAATTGTTTTGGTAATTCATTTAAAAAAACATAAGAAACCATATATAAGAAAGAATTCTTGGTTTGAGATATGTATTTATATTGTTCGGATCAGACAATTACTAAGGCAATGACTTATCTCCCACATTGGGATTTCTCAACTGGAAAAGCTAGATATCGAGAATAATATTTAGAACAAGAACTTGCACCATGCAGAAAAGATATCAGATGTGGCTAATCTTGACAAGAGTATGCGATGTTGTTGAAACAAGATGACAGATGAGATAGTCCCTATTTCATAAGATAAATGTACATGTAGATATATTAAATATACCCGTAAAAATATAGTTCCTTTTTCATAAGCACAGGAAAAAAACCAAGCAGAACAATAAAATTCAGAATAAATTGTTTTGGTAATTCATTAAAGAAACATAAGAAACCATATATAAGAAAGAATTCTTGGTTACGAGCTGAGATATGTATTTATCTTATTCGGATCATACAATTACTAAGGCAATGACTTATCTCCCACATTGGGATTTCTCAACTGGGAAAGCTAGATATCGAGAATAATATCTAGAACAAGAACTTGCACCATGCAGGAAAGATGTATCAGATGTGGCTAATCTTGACAAGAGTATGCGATGTTGTTGAAACAAGATGACAGATGAGATAGTCCCTCTTTCATGAGATAAATGTACATGTAGACATATTAAATATACCTGTAAAAATATAGTTCCTTTTTCATAAGCCACTCTGTTTATGAGGCGCTTAGTTCTTTCTCCACACAAGTCACATGTGAATTCTACAAGCAAATTTCTCCTGGGAAGCTTTATATCAAAAGTTATATCCTTCAAAAAAAATAAAAAAAAAAGAGGTTACCGCAAGTATTGGTAAAGCAAAACAATGAACTTGCTTGATAAAATGATGATCAACAGACAAGCAAAACAGCTACCACTACAGGATTTACCACAACCTCATCATGATTATAAACAGCAACGATGGTGATGTTAATCTTTTTCTCAAATGTGACATCATTGCACATGATAAAAGAGAAGATCCAAAGATGCAACATTTAGCTAAAGTATTGGCAAGGCACTTTATAAATTCATATGAAAATTTGGCCCTGGCTATTCTTATGCCAGCATTTTGAAAAACAGGCCATCACATATAAATACTCCTTGCAAAATGTACTCAAACTTCCCAGTAAACCAGCAACTTTTGATGAATTTGTGTTTCCACAATACTTAAACCTAAGAAGAGATTATTCAGCACGATATCCAGACAACGAATTTAACTAGCACACCCTTGATGAGTCTTGAGACAAACATCAAAACCAAGCAAAGATATCTACAAGTTATTATATGCTTTCCTGTCCATGATGAACAGCACAGATTACATGTATTTATCCACATTGTTATTACTAGTCTCTCAGAACTGTAATCATGCTTCCTGATGACACACCAGAGAGTACAAGCATTTCAGATAGAACATCATATTATAGTTGAAGAACATGTAAGAGAATTTGATGTATGTTAGGCAAGCAAAATACCATCAATCTTAGGTCAGGTAGTTGCTCGTTGTAGATGTGATCCTAAGACTGAAAGCATATTTTTTCCTCCATATTCTAACCACTGAAAAAGGCACTTATTTATGCAACTCACAATTCGAAATTGTCGAATTAGTTTTCTCAAATCAGTTATTGTTTCTGCAAATAAATGCTATATGGGAATAGTGTTGACTTGGATCAGAGTAGTGTTTGTTGGATCTGCATGTCAAAGTAGGATGAGGTAAACCACATAGATCACCAGGAAATGCAAACCAAGCTCAAATTTCGTTCCTTTCGTTTTCCCCCATTCTTATTTCTTCCTCCTATAATAGTTTTTAGCCAGACTATTTAGGGGTTACAAATACCAGATACACTACGCAGCAAGAAACAAGAGGATAAGAATCAGGAGGCAAGGCGGAGCTAACCGGAGGCGAGGCGGAGGAGGAGCTCGGCTTGGATTCTGCGGCGGCGCCGTCGCCGGTGGCGCAGACAAGGGGGAAGAGGCGGGCAGTCGGGCGAACGAGACCGAGTCTGAGGCGGGCGAAGGCGGGGGGAACTGCCCATGGTTGATTGGCGCGGTGGCGGAGGCTGAGGCGGTGATGAAAGCAGGGATGACACGGAGATGGAGGAGCACGATAGCTGTTCACAACAGCTCCCATTTCCACCTCTCCTCTTCTCGTCCCTCGTCCACCTGTAGGTATAATGACGATTGGTTCGGTCCGGCCCGGTTTTATCCAAACGTTGAACCCGGCCCTGCGCTGGTTGGGTCAAGGCCCGCTTTAGCCGAACCCCATCTGCTTTGGCAGGCTTCCCGAGCTGGTCCATGGGCTCAACAGGTTCAGCAGCCTTCTTCTTCTTCTTCCTTCTCCACAGGTTTCTCTCCTCTCACATTGCATGGACGGCTTGAATAATTGCAGTCTCCAACTTTATGACAAGATGCAGATGAAGCAGAGATACATGGACCAGAGAACATGAGGCCATGACTTTTCCTGCTGCAACTGATCATCTGATTCCGAGTTGTCTTCTTCCTCTTCGTTCGGTGTTTGTTCTTTGCTCCATCATGCTTGTGTCACTGCCTGGAAGAGGATGGACAATATCTGACCCTGCTTCACTGAGCTGCTCCCTGCACTCGCGCTTCGAAACCCATACAGTGTCGGAAGTACTGTTGGGAGATTTGCCTTGAAATAAATTTACCTTATACCTGTACGTCATTTTGATGATAGTAAGAAGCACGGAGGAATGAGGACATTAATGGCTGCTCAAGAGGAGCAGAGAGAGGTAACCGTGGTGCTCGTCTTCCATAGCCTGGTCTGCACCTAAACCCTTTCCCATGCACCACAGGCAGCCGGTCAAAGCTCCTCGCTACCCTACCGTCTCCATGCCCCACACTTCTCCCCCATCCCGAGGTTTGCATTGCATGATCGCCGAAGTTCTCGTCTCTCCTTCCGTCACCTTTCTTGTCTGTGTCCGTCTCACTCCGCCCAGCGAGCATTCTTTTCGTTCTTTTGATATCTGTTTGGTTTGGCAATAGTGGGCTTTGTCACCCTCAGCTATCGTCAGTGTGCTACAGTCATCCCCCAATACTAAAGGACGGAGAGCAGTGGCTGACAAAAAGGACTAGAAACATGGAATAAATGAGCCCATTGTCCGAAAGCAGACACAGGAAGGGAATCTCTTAATCTCTCCTCGCTGTCTTTCGCTCATCGATCATTGAGGCTTCCTCTTACTAAAGGCCCGCCGGCTTCACCTATTCGCCCTCTCCCACCGTCTCGTTCTCTCTTCCACAGATGAGGACCATAATGGCAAGAAGCCCCCACGAGTCCTCCTTCTCTTTCTCCAAGAGACACTTCCAGTGGACAGCTGGAAATGGCGGTGAAGACAAGAAGCGAGGAGGAGGGAGGGTGGAGGAGGACGTGCTCGTCTTCTCCGCTGCCATTTCGGCGTCACCGTTCTCTTGCGATGATGACGCGCCCCTGAAGGCAGAGGCAGCCGCGCCACCAGCAAGGAAGAAGGGCTCAACCTCTTCTTCGGCCGCAGCGGTGGCTGTTTCGAGGTTGCGAGCGGTGCTGACGGCGGCAATTGTCGGTAGGCGTCGACCGGTGGGGTTCGGGCCCCGTGTGACGGGCACGCTATTCGGGCACCGCCGCGGCCACGTCCACTTCGCGTTTCAAGTGGACCCCCGGGCCTGCCCGGCGGTGCTGATCGAGCTCGCCACGCCCACCAATACGCTGGTCAGGGAGATGGCGTCGGGGCTGGTGAGGATCGCGCTGGAATGCGAGCGGCGGGCAGGCGGCGGAAAGAAGCTGCTGGAGGAGCCGCTGTGGCGTGCCTACTGCAACGGCAAGAAATGCGGCTACGCCGTGCGCCGCGAGTGCGGCCCGGCAGACTGGAGGGTCCTGAGGGCGGTGGAGCCGGTGTCGACCGGCGCCGGCGTGCTCCCGGGAGATGGCGGCGCCTACGGCGAGATGATGTACATGAGGGCCAGGTTCGAGCGTGTGGTGGGATCCAAGGACTCGGAAGCCTTCTACATGATGAACCCTGATAACAACGGTGGCCCCGAACTCAGCATCTACCTGCTTAGAGCCTGATACTTCCTCGTTAGGGGCGGCCGGAGAAACCTGGCCGATCGAATGGTTGTTTATCGCTTTCTCTCTCTTCTCTTCTATCAACTCCTCACCTTGATTACTTCTCTTCTCCTCTTCTGCCGGTAAGCACGACATCGGCAGCGTCGTGGTGGTATGTATGCATGCATGTATCTACGAACTCTGTAATTTTACTTTCTTGAAGAAGAGGTTCGAGCCAGCAGAAAGCTCTCGATCGTGGTCTCCTCGATGCGTCCCGACGACAGATTCTCGAACATGTGAGATCGATTGCAGCAGCGGCAGAATCTAATGATGCTTGCTACAGCATTCTCAGTACAGCTGCTCTGTTCTCACCTGGCCATGCATAGTTTTCCCCTTGGCGTTGCACTGTTTCTTCACGGTCGCATGAGACGAGTCAAATATTTTGGCAATAAACGAGGACAGTGGATGGGTTTCCATCATCAATCCTTACTCGTTACTACTCGCCAAAGCTGATAAGCCATTATAATCCGCACTACCGGCTTCTTCTTTTTTTATGACTCTGTTCCTTTCTCCTCGGTACAAAAGTCAAGCTTTGAACAATGAAGCAGGGGAAGATGGTCAAACCGCGAGATGGTGGTGGCTTGTCGAGTGCAGTGGTCGAGGCTCACATTAACGGGTGGAGGTGACAGTGGGAGGCGGTACATACAGTCATCATTATTCAAAGTGGAAGGTGGGTGATCTGATGGAGATGTGGCCACGGTTTCAATTACTGCGCTGCTCTGCTACGCTACAACAGGGCTGGGGCACTCGATACGAATAATAGACATCACGATCAAGGCGACCTTGTTATTCTTATCGACACCACCGATTTGTTTATGATAGCAACGACTCGTGTGACATTTCTCGAATCCGAGGTCGACTCTGCACGCTCGGACAATGTAATATGATGTTCCTCTTGGGGACAGAGGAGAAAGACGCATCTTATTGTTGAATTCAACGAGGAACATCGTAAGGTGCTTCAGCCGGAACACTAACAGTAGAGCTCATTAAATCCAGCAAACGGAGAACAGAGTAGTCGGAAAGCGTACTCTGATAGCGAGCAGAGAACAGAGCAGTAGGAAACCACACTCTGCTCGCGGTCTTGTCGTTGTAATTTGAGGCAGGAGTCTGGTTGGCCAAACAAGTAGGTGCAGAGAGAGAGAGAGGAGGGGGGGGGGGAGGAGAGAGAGCTGTTGGACCTTTTGGAATTTGAGCTGTGGGTCAGAGTTGTCATCCCAAGGAAGGAGAGAGAGGCGAGACAGCGAGGAGGGGGAGAGGGTTCAGAGGGTGCTGGCGACAGATGGGACATGGAAATCTAAGTCAGACAGTGGCATCGATGGGCGAGCCATGCGGGATTCTTATGAGGACGGGGATTACATGTCCTGTCGCCTCATTACTGCCATTTAGAGGCTCAAAGCTAAAAGAAAGCTATATTATTACATGACAGTCCTTTAAGATAATCCATATAGATTTTTTTTCTTTTTTTGGAAAAAGTGGGATACGACTAAAAGGGTTTGACAAAAAAAGGAGAGAAAAAGGAAACAATTTGAAAATTAAAATCTAAAACTCACTCTAAAAGATAATTCATTTTTTTGGTGTCTTTGATTATTTACCTGTAAAATGCAGCAGAAGACAGCCGTTGGTTGGATACCGTACGCAAGAAAGCAACTTTATGGTCAAATGAGATGATGTATTCCGATGAGTTGTCTGCCGCCTCCTCAGTGACTGCTCTGCTCGGATGTATGGAATTTTCTTCTTTTTTTTAATTCAAAATGCTGTAGATTTTGATCTAAAGAATTTTAGGAATAATATTGAAAAGGATTATCGCAAAAAGATGAGAGAAAATTTCTTGTAGAGTATTAAAAGATGGGGGAGGCTTGAATGTTAATGGTTTGATTTTTTGTGCCTCCTTATATAGTGATGAGGGTAATAATTACGATAAAACTCACGTGACATTAGCTGCACCAGGTGACGTATCATGTCTCTGTTGACTTGATGAGGTACCTGGTTAATGTGGACTGAAACGCCTACTAAGGCGCATTAACGCTCTGTTCAGGTTCGATCCCTCACGTCACGCCAACGGCAACATCAGACGTTACCAGAAGTAAATGGGGGAGGAACTTAGCTAAAGAAACCCCCGTGACTACCCTCTAACTTGATCGTCGGAGGGGTCGGGTCGAGCGCCCCGACTCGACCATTGTGCAGGTGCGAAGGCGGAGGTCATCCACTAAACGCGCAGGTGAGGAGTCCTCACCCGATGGAAATGACGATCCCGTCCCGATCGGGACACCGCAACCGGCCACCTCAGTAGTCTCGAGGAACGCCCCAGGAAGATCCCCCACCATTCGGGCCCGAACCAAGTCGCGTCGGCCCCGCAACCACGACTTAAAATTGTTTACACCAACATATAGTAAAAATATTAAATCACTATTTGGATGACTCTTCCAATTTGGAGATGTATCAATGGGCATTAGATCATCGGAGGACCTTTGAATAGTTGGCTAATCGGGATGAACTAGCCAAAGCTTCCCACCTCTGTTTATCCAATATTATCATTAAAATTGATTTCCTACAAATTTATCTGATCCAAAACTAAGCCTGTCCGTTAGCTGCACAATGTTTGTAATGCCATGTTTAATCTAATCCGAGAGAGTAAACATACAAATGCTCAATTGTAGTCCCGAGTTCCTCGATGTGACTGAGAAAGCACGCATGCTCGATCCCTATGGTTCACTGCCATGCGACAAGCTCCTCATCGGGTGGGGATACGGGGAAGAGCCACGCGAGATGCTGCTCCTCTTCGGCTGCTGTGCGTTGCACTCGATCGGGTGGGAGGCGGCAATCGAAGCAGCGCGTTCCTTCGTCATGGCCCGGAAGGAGGAGGAGCTGCTGGCGATGTCGTTGAGATCGACCAGAGGTTTGAGAACCTCCACCACCTCGCTCATCAGCGGTCGAGCCTTGGCGTTCCGACCGACACAAGCCTGCACCAACTGCGCCACCTTCTGAGCTCCCTTGACGGAGAAGTTGCCGTGCAGACGAGGATCTATAATCCTGTAGAACTGTCGTTTGTTTCCCAGGTATGGACGTGCCCACTCCACCAGGTTTTGCTCCCCGGCCGGTCGTCTTTTGTCCATCGTTCTCCTCCCTGTCATGATCTCCAGCAGCACAACGCCGAAACTGTAGACATCACTCCTCGTTGTCAGATGTCCTGGAAGAAGAGATGAACGATGACGAGATTGTGTTGTTCCCAGCGGAAGCCAAGTTCAAGATGAACGCAAAAGAGCTCTTTTACCTGTCATCACATACTCCGGGGCTGCATATCCGTATGTTCCCATCACTCTCGTTGTTACGTGAGTCTTGTCGCCCTCAGGACCAGCTTTAGCGAGGCCAAAATCCGAGAGCTTGGCATTGAAATCCTGCAGCAGCACAACTCAGGAAGCAACTCAACGAAAGCAAACGGGAAGCATGAGAACACATGATGTTGGTACATACAGCATCTAACAGGATATTGGATGTCTTGAAATCACGATATATTACTCGTCTCTCGGCTTCCTCGTGAAGAAAAGCAAGGCCTTTTGCTGCACCAAGTGCAATCTTCATTCTAATCGACCATGGCAAATCCCGGGATCCTGTTGCCAGAGATGAAGGGTAGCAAAGATTACATAGGGGCAATGTCAAGGTTTTTATGGCCATATTGCAGACCAACATCAAGGTTGAGACATGGCTTCTTTCCTCGAAAGGAACTTCCCACAAAGGAGATCAAAAGCTAAGAAAAAAGTGAAAGACAGGTTGATCACATACTTCTGAAAAGATGGTTCTCCAAATTTCCACGTTGCATAAACTCATACACCAGCAGTCTCTGATCATCCTCGATGCAGTATCCAATCAGCTTTACCAAATTTGGATGTCGAACATCACCAAGAAGATTAACTTCGGCCTGCGAGTATGTGAAGATGATAGTTTGCAAATGAAAATTTCTCACCAGGTAGAACAAAGAAGTAAACACGCGATCATCACTAGCTAATGAAGAATTAGATATAGTACAAGCCACTCTTTATGCCCTTGAATTCGATCATGGCTGAGCATCTTGACGGCAACAGTAAGTCCGGTGCCAGGTTTAACGGGAGCTGTTCCATATTCCTCGATCCATCCTTTGTAAACACGGCCGAATCCTCCCTCTCCGAGAAGGCCATCCGGTTGGAAGTTACTTGTGGCAGACTTCAGCTCTTTGAAGGTGAACTTTCGCAAGTGGGATGAAAATTTCAGATCATCGACGGCTTTAGAAGGAGATGGATATGTTGATTTGGTTTCCCCTGATCAGCATGCAAGTGACAATCAAATCAGTAAGAACCTGTTCAAAGGCACGTAGGAAGCTCCAGAGCAGTACATCTTTAACTTGACGAAAGAGAAACATATGTCACACATGCAAATGTAGTAAATATATGTGATAGGAAAACTATTGAGATCAATGATCACTAGACGCTTGGCTATCGTTATGGCAGCACAGTTAATGTCGAGGACAAAACCTTCTATGTACCCATGTAGATGTGAGTCAAGACAGGTAATTGTGTTGCCTCCTTCCTTCTCACCAATATGAATAAAAGGACATATTGTTAGAGATAATACGATAGAATATTTTATAAAATATTTTATCCTTTTATTATCTGGTATAAAAGATCATTTTTAGCATAGTTATCATGGGATTGCTTTTATCACTCGTTACCATATACTCACATACCTTGAGTTACTAACTTAGGCATCGAAAAGATCGAGTCGAAAAACTCATCATAACCTTGGTCTTCATGCAAGCGACATCTCGAGAGCTTAGCGTTTTCATCTCGGACGCACCTTAGTCGTACCTTAAATATCCCTATCCATATGGGCCAAAGTTTCGTCGAGTTGACTAAGACGTCAATCATACTTTTACATAACATTTTGACGTTGGAAGGTGAGCTCGATATCATAAAAATGCTTGCATGTCGATTCTCTCAATAAACGCTCAAGTGAAAAAGCTTTGCCCTTGATCGATAATATTTTCGCTAAGGGAACCACAACTCCTATTTTTATATATCAATACAAATACTGATGATATATTGACGTCTATTCAACGATCCAAATCTTTCACCCCCAAGGACGACCACGAGCCACATGTTAGTCCCCGCCAAGATACAAACATTAATGGGGATGATACAGGTCATTGCCTCACTCCTGCCTTAGCTAGCGTAATAAGCGACGCCACCAACTCAGTCATACGCCCTAGTTCCATTAGTACTCATCGAGACTCCTCATCCTGACATGGCATTAACACCCTAGGAGGGCCCGAGACGTACCAAATCACCTATTGAGAGGACACTTTGGTCCCCAATTGTGAAATTCAACCTTCCCAAGTAGAGATGAGGATTTATTGACAGATATGTTAATGTCGCTTGGTGGCAAGTTCTTTAAGGGCCTTTCGACTCCTCTCCTTCCGTTGAACAGTCATAGCTGCCATGGATGAGCAGAAGGGAATAGAGGAAAGAGAGGCGAAGAGGAACCCAAGACCCGACTCTAGCATGACTTTGACGAGCCATGCCAACTCCCTTCGTTACCTCTTCATTGCTCTTCCTCTGCATGATGCCCATGTCGGATAAGTTGATGGTTGCATTTCAAGACATCTTTGAAAGAGTTCCCGAAGTGCATCTTCGAGGAGGGGGACAAATGATAGGGAGAGCATTATCAATCAATTATCATCCGACATGTGGCCTCCACATGTTGTCCAGATTGGAAGGAGGCAAAGGCTATACCCACCGGTCTGTCCACATGGACAAGAGTCGAAGACAAACTATTACAAATTGTCTCCCCTTTGTTGCCCACATGGAGAAAAGGCCAAAGAGAGAGTGTTAAAGGTGGTCGAGAGCTACCTCTCTGCCTTATATTTTACATAATATTTTACTCATTTATGACTAGGAATAAAAGCTCATTTTTAGCAAAATGATGGAAATAACTTTTTTCTACCACTTACAACCATACTTATCTACCTTGAATTATTGACTTGAGCACAAAAAGGACCGAGTCAAAAATCTTCATGCAGGTGATACCTTGAGGGACATTTTCACTTCGACCGCACCTTGGATAACCTTACGCATGTGGGTTTGAACTACATCGAACTGATCAGGACATCATCTTACCATAACAGGGCAACAACTGCACTTGCATGTATCTCGCTAAAAAAAAAAAAGAAGGTAATTCACAACATAAAGGGTTTGAAACACCGCAACAATGACTTAAGTTATCATCTTTCCACATTAGATGCAACACTTATTTACTCGGCAACGATTACGGAGCAATAAGAACCATATGGTAGGGACAGTAACCCGACATGAATCCAGCATCCAGATATCCTAGATCACAAACTATTCATTTTTCTCGAAGATAAATCAAATCGCGACCAAGTAATAACAATGATGAAAGAGAACAATGAAGAACAGAGGCTAAAGAATTGGTATCAGCATCCTGTAAAGCCAAACTAAAGATATCACGCGCCACATAACCGATGTTAAAGTCATGAGCGAGCGAGACATTACCAAGCGGTGTGCCGACGCTCCTGATCGTCGTGTCCACATTGGCTTTGGAAGACATGCAACCCCCCATCGAGCGAAGCTTAATCCAGCGCAGGGTCTCCTCGCCCTTGTTCTGTTTCCTTTCCTCCTCCTCCTTCGATCTTCCACCACTTGCCCACGCTGCTAGCCAAACCTCCTCCGCTCCCAATCCCATCCTCCCAACACTTTATGATCCAAAAAAGATTCACTCAAGATACGGTGACATTGATCCACCTACCAACATCCTTTTTCATCGGGGGAAAGAACAGACCGAAACCCCAAACACAAGCCATCAAATCCGATCCTACTCCAAAGACCGCTCTAAAAATCCGAGCTTGAGACCCTCGAACCAAACAGCACGGAACGTTTTGGAGATACTCCAACTGCCCCAAAGTTCGAACATTTATTTCACGAAGCCTCCGAAACCCCCAAATGGGTTTCTCTCCGGGAAAACGCACCCCTCAGATTGAGAAAAGGGGAAGGCGCAATGACGGAGACGAAGCAACCTGCCCTAGGAACTCTAGCGGGAGGAGGAGAGGGCTGCAGGTCTGCTGCCCTAACCGGCGGCACTATCGAGCATTGTGGTACGTCGAGAAGGAATGGGGAAGAAGGAAAAGGACAACCGGAGACGAAGCCAAAGAAGAGAGAAGCGAGTTAAGAGTGTGCAGAGAATGAGACGCACGCAGGCAAGAACGGGAGGGGGAGGGAGAAAACGAATAAGCTATCTCTTTCCTACCAGTTCAAGACGGTAACGTCAGTCTCACGTGCTGAAGGATGTTTATGCCGATCCACCAATCAACAAGAAGGTATATTAGCGGGCAATGTGGAAAATGTACGAGTAAACAGGGTAAAGGACGGGCAATTCGCACAGCGGCGCCACCGGGAATTTGACTGCACAGTCCGTGGGAGGAAACGTTGAGTGAAGCGCGTTTGGCTCCCCGCGCGAAACGTACTCATAATACTCTGTACACGCAATTGTTTCCGCCGTTCGATCCTCCCGCCCGTCCATCAAATCATCGCAACGAACCATCATGATGTAAGACCACCTTACGGCCTTTCATTCCTCCTCCCAATATATATATATATGCTTCAAGCGGATCGGGTATACATCCGATAACACGAGGAGGGGCTTAATTCGGGTTCGGATTCTATAAGAGATCGGATCCATTAAATGCACTCGGGTCAGGGATCGGAATCTTGAAAGGCACCGAGGGCACCGACTCTTCAGCTTGCCTGTTCTTGGTCCGTCGTCCTCTGCGCTCGCGATTGATTAGGGTTTTGGGGGAACAGGGATTCGAGGGGGCGCTGAGTCGGCTGCGGAGGAGGCGAGGCGGAGGGAGCGAAGATGGGAGAACGCAAGGTCTTGAACAAGTACTACCCGCCGGACTTCGATCCGGCCAAGATACCTCGGCGGCGGCAGCCGAAGAACCAGCAGATGAAAGTTCGGATGATGCTTCCGATGAGCATCCGCTGCAACACCTGTGGAACCTACATCTACAAGGGCACTAAATTCAATTCTCGCAAGGAGGATGTTGTTGGAGAGGTGAGTAATTCTTGTGTTCCCTTTCTTGTTCTTGTTGTTCTTGCATCTTTGATTCTCTTGAAACCTTTGTTCTAATTGATCGCGTCATCCTTCGGTCCGGTTTTTCTCTCTGTTTCTTCTTTGATTTGTCCCATCTCCACTTAATCTGTGATATTGTGGACATCAGGGTGTAATTTGTTTCAACATTCATCAAGTTCTTGAATAGTAAAGTCATTGTCCTGTGATATAGGTTTTAGAAGATTGTACCGTAAATACGAGGATCACATCTTGTTCGAGGCCTTTCTTTTCCATTTTTGTGTATATGACAATGTAATTCAGTCTGCGAATTTGGAGTGGTATAATCCATTTGGTTTTCCTTTCTTGATGCGTTTGATTCCTTTATTTCTTATTTGCTGTTGCACGACGTGGTGTGAAAATTATGCTATTAAGGTAATTTGTTTCTTGCAGACGTATCTTGGAATCCAAATATTTAGGTTTTATTTTAAATGCACTAAATGTTCGGCCGAGATTACTTTCAAGACAGACCCTCAGAACACAGATTACACTGTTGAATCGGGAGCATCACGTAATTTTGAGCCTTGGCGTGATGAAGATGAGGTGAGTTATTTGCTGTACTATGACAAGTTTGTTATAATGCTTTGTGTTGGTTCCAGTCCTACATGTTATGTGGTTCTCATCAGGTGGTAGAAAAGGAGAAGAGGAAAAGAGCTGAGGAAGAAATGGGAGATGCTATGAAGTCCCTGGAGAACCGAGCATTAGATTCCAAGCAAGATATGGATATACTTGCTGCACTTGAAGAAATGAGATCTATGAAGGTACTTCAAACTTGTTTTGCAGCAATGATATGTTCTATAACTGCTTCAGGTTCACCATTTGTTTTGCTCTTCTGCAGTCTAGGCATTCAACTGTAAGTGTTGATTTGATGTTAGAGACTTTAAAAAGATCAGCCTATGAAAAGGTTAGTGCTGGTACAGTTCTCTATTCTTCCAATTTTTTTTCTTTTAATTTCCTTTATGAAAGTTGGCACTCTTCATTTATGGGACTTACGATGTATCTCAAGATAATAAAAATTATGTAGTCATATGCAGATGCTGTTAGGTGTTTTTTTTTTTACTTGGCAGATCAGTCAGTTGTTCCATTGAAATGACAGTGTGCCTCAATTTCACTAAAAATAGTTCGATTGCAGTTTCTAAGTTGAATGGATTTTGCAAACATAAGGACAATCTTGTCAATGAGCACCTTTGAATCTGGAGAATGAGATCTTGTAGTAAAGAAGTTGTACAAAAGAGTTCTCAATACTTGATGACATTTGTGTGCAATGGCTTGGTTTTTCAATTTTTTGTGTGCATGCTCAGCACGAAGAGCATTACAAAAGATCATGTCTTATCAAACAGTCAATTATAACCAATTGTATTGCCAAATTGAAGGAAATAAAGATGGTGGTGGTGACTAAGCTGTACAAAACACATTGCTCATGTCATATCGATGAAACCAGAATGTTACTGTAGTCATTGCAGAAGGATTACGTTCTTCCACCAGTATGTTGATGGACCAAGCACAAAAATAATAGATTCTTGAATGATTCCTGGCTGGGAGCTTCAATACTGATCTGGTAACACCATGAATTGTCTCTTTTGGGTTTCACTAGATAATATCAAAATATAAGTTATTTTTGAGAAATTAATTATGACAGCTTGATTTTAGTCTGGCATCAGAGAGGGTCGGAAGAGGAAGGATTAATGTCATTGTATATGGAGCTAGATATGTTTGCTACTATTAATTGGGCTTAAGTATTTTGGACTATGTGGTTTTATGCTCATCAAGTTAATGACTATTTTTATCATCGGGTCAAGTCCTATCATAAATAAAAAATATTTAGGCAGTTAATGAATTGAGTAAAGTTTTAATTCTTTATTAATGTTTAGCCTAGAATGTACTAGAGTAATTAAGTTGCACAGGCAGTTGCTGTTTCCTGTTGGTGAAATCTTTCGTACTTAAAACTTTGCTTTTGTTTGGCGTTTATTTGTTTGTTGTTCTCATACTAGATGGACAATTAATTTGTAAATTCATATATAGATATTTTATTCTCATCAGAGTGGGGCTTATTGTGCTTTACTTCTAAATG